TGATAAGAAGAGATCCTGCTTCCAACTCCTCTGTGGGTACCAGAAAGGTAGTCCTTAATCAAACTGATGCATTAGACATGACATTTTAAGGGTCAACTCTTGGATATTACTTGAATATGCTTATTTTTAAATTAAAACCTTATCCCTCTAATCTATAATTATTTCACAGCTCTAAATAATTGGAAATCTATACCACTTATCAGAAAAAGGCAAAAAAATACAAATTAACATAACATCGTTAAACTCTAAATAGATACTGTCATTTGCTAAAGGCACTGAAACCGAAATCTGCTCGCTCTTCATAAAAAAATTTGAAAATCCCTTAGTGTTAGATAACTGTTAAAAATGCAGTAGCCCCAGACTGAGACACCCTTGATGCTATCTTCAGAGGAACTGGAAAAGGATTTTGTTTGAGAAATAAAATCCTACCCATGGAAGAGTGGGACTTGGTGTTCTTTAAATGCTGCTAGAATGTACCTTCTAATATCATCTCACAGAGGAAGAATGGACATGTCCCACCCTCTAGGAATATTTTTATGCCAATAAAAACAAAATCTTTAAACAGCAATGGCTCTAAGTCTATATCCAACCCCATCTTAGAGATGGCCATAGCAGTACAAAATCCATTGGTCACCTCAACACTATATCGGTCATCTCTGAAAAAGGATTGATTAACATGATACTGAATGATGAAAGACAAAATGCTTTTCCCCTAAGATCAGAAAGAAGACAAAGATGCCCACTTTTACCACTTCTACTCAACACAGGATTGGAAATTCTAGCCAGAGCAATTAGGCAGAAAAAAGAATTCAAATTGGAAAGGAAGAAGAAAAATCATTCCCGCTTGCATATGACATAATCTTATGTAGACTGCCCTAAAGATTCAGTACACACACACACACACACACACACACACACACACACACACAACTAACATGTTAGACTTAATAAATTCATCCAAGTTGCAGGATACAAAATCAACACACAGAAATCACTTTCATTCCTTTGCACTAGCAATGAACAATCTGAAGAGGAAATACAGAAACAATTCCACTTACAATAACATCAAGAAGAATAAAATATTTAGGAATAAACTTAACCAAGAAGGTGAAAGACTTGTATACTGTGTTTAAAAAGAGACAGCATGCCCCAAAGGGGGTCACTTGTACCAAACCCCAACATCAGCAAACCAAGACTGAACACCTAACCTAACCTCCATTTCAACCCCCCAGGAATGCAAACTTTAACCAGTCACCATGGAATTAGGAGGTCAGCACTAATGAGATGATTCACCCATTTGACTCCTGTTCCCCTTAAGAAGGTGACCTCCTCTAAGACAAGGCATTCTTTGGTAATCATTTCCTTTTTCCACTCCCTTTCCACCTTTAACAACCTTCCCTTTCCCACAGCTCAGCAGAGCTCCTTTCTACTTGCTAGAGGGGATGCTGCCTGTCTCCTGAATTGCTGAGCAAAGCCACTTTGATGTTTAAATGGACTCAGGTGGATTTTCCTTGTTTCACAGATTTGATGGCACCACTGGGACCACAGGACTTCCAAGAGCTTCAGGGACAAGAAACACAGGCGAGGTACCCCACAGATCCTTTGAGTTCATGTCCTTTTTCATCACTTCCAAGGCCTGTGGGTAGGCTCACACTTGATTCTGAGCTAAACTCTCTTTGGGCCAAGCTCGGAGCATTCGTCTGGCTTTGGGGATTCATTCTGTTTGGCAGAGGAAAGCTCTCCTGTTGACTCCTTTATGGTACTTAAAGAGCAATTTGGTTGCACTTAATTGCTACCTTAAATTAACAGCTGCCTGAGCCCAGAGAGCTTATCATCAGGGCCAGAGTGGAGGAAGAGGTGACAGTGGGCTTCCAGTGGGACTGAGTGGTTTCAAACGTGACCAGCTTAGGGAAAAGCGCCCATCCCCCAGAATTCCCAGGTGGAAGGAAAAACTCCCAAAACCAGTGATCTCAGTGGCTTGTCTGCACGGCTTTCCACAATCTGTCCTTCTGAGGGAGGTTGTTTGAATTCCTTTCCAGATCTCCCCAGAGGGTTTTGGAAATCAAGAGGTTTTGAAATAACTGAGCCTCGTCTTCAACATCCATTTACTACGTATATATTCAATATCTACTCTCTGGAAGGCACTGGGCCAGGCATGAGAGAGAGATAGATGGCAGTGCGTCACCCAGAGAAGGGTGGCTATGGTCTAGCTGGGATGTCAGATATCCTCAATAACTACGTGTACACTAAGTAGTCACTATCGGGGCACCTGTGTGACTCAGTTGGTTAAGTGTCTGCCTTTGGCTCAGGTCATGATCCCAGGGTCCTGGGACTGAGCCCTGCAGGCGCTCCCTTCTCGGGGGGGAACCTGCTTCTCCCTCTCCCTCCGACCCTCCCCTCTGCTTGTGCTCTCTCTCTCTCTCAAACAAATAAAATCTTTAAAAAAAATAATAATAATTTGTTGCCTCAGTACTATAAATAAGATGTACAAACTGCTTAGGAGGGTGTCTTAGTCCATTTGAGCTCTTGGAACAAAATACCACAGACTTGGTTACTTACAAACAACAGAAATCTACTTCTCACAGTTCTGGAGACTGGATGTCCAAGATCAGGGCACCAGTATGGTCTAGGGCCATCTTTGGAGGCACAGACTTCTCCTTGTATTCTCACAGGGTCGAAGGAGCTAGGCAGTTCTCTGGGCTCTCTTCTCTAAGAGCACTAATCCCATTCATAAGGGCTCCACCCTCATGACCTTTCTCTTTTTTTGAATTTTATTTATTTATTTGACAGACAGAGAGATCACAGGTAGGCAGAGAGGCAGGCAGAGAGAGAGGGGAAAGCAGGCTCCCTGATGAGCAGAGAGCCCGGTGCCGTGCTCAATCCCAGGACCCTGGGATCATGACCTGAGCTGAAGGCAGAGGCTTAACCCACTGAGCCACCCAGGCGCCCTCCACCCTCATGACCTTTTGCTGGAGTTTTCCAGGAAGACACATGAAGCCTAATGGAGACAAACCGATGGTCCGGCAGAGACCACAAGCCCCGCCTTCATGGCTTGGCTGTCTGGCTGGTACCATCCTGGGTGGAGGCTAAGCAAGTGGAATCTGGGAGACACGATTCGGTCTAGTGATGTCTCAAGATCTTGCTTAGACTTGGTGATTCTGAGAAAAGGATTTAGACAGTCCCCCTTCGCTGTGGCTCCTCACCACTCAGCCTGGCCACCCAAACTGCCACCCCAGGCTACACCTAAGGCTCTAGAGGATCTGGGAAGGGGCAGGACAGAGCGGTGCTCACGAGACTGGCTCTGGACTTGGACCACTAGTTTTGCAAAGCTGCTCTCCCACTTGCTAGCTGTGTGACTGTGTGCAGCTACTGGGCTGCTCTTGGCCTCATGCTCTGGGGGGACGAGCATAGTGGCTCCTGCTGGCATGCTTGGGAAATGGAGTAACTTAATCCAGGTATAGTGTGTAAAACTGTCCTTGCGGTACTAAGTACTCAGTGAAAGACCAGACAGACATGTACTCCCATGGTTGTGGCAGTATTGTTCACAAGAGCCAAGGTATGGAAACCAGCCAAGTGTCCATCAACGGATGCGTGAGTAAAGATGTAGCAGATAGCTACAATGGACTATGATTCAGCTAGGGAAATTCTGCCATTTACAACAACAAGGACAGATCTTGAAGACATCGTGCTAAGATAAGTCAGAGAAAGACAAATAACGTACGGTACCTCTTTTTTTCTTTAAAAAAAAAAAAGATTTTATTTATTTACTTAGAGACAGAAAGAGAGAAAAAGAGAGAAAGAGCACATGTGCAAGTCAGGGAAGGGGAGAGGGAGAGAGAGAAAGAGAGAGAGAGAGAGAGAGAGAGAGAGAGAGAGAGAGAGAATCTCAAGCGGACTCCAGCTTGAGCTTGGAGGCGAATACAGGGCTTGATCTCATCCCTGAGATCATGACCTGAGCTGAAATCAAAAGGTAGAAGCTTAATTGACTGAGCCACCAGGGTGCTTCTAAACCATATCCTTCTATGTGGCATCCAAAAGAACCCCAAATTTGTAAAAACAGAATAAAGTGGTGGTTACCAAGGGCTGGGGGCAGGGAAATGGGAGAGGTGTTGTCGAAGGCACATAGTGTAACTGAAAGTTAAATAAGTCCTGGAGACCTAATACACTGTATGGTGATTATAGACAACAACGATATCAGAAACATTAAACTTGCTGAGAAACTAGATCTTAATTGCTCCCAACACTAGAAGAAATAAGAATTATGTAACATGATAGAGGTGTTAGCTAACAGTACAATGACAACTATATTGCAACACAAAAGTATCAAGTCACCTTAAACTGACACAATGTTCTATGTCAAATATACCTCAGTAAAAATAAATAAACTGTATTTTTATTACACAATTCTGGATCCACAGGGCTGAGCATACAGACTGGTTCATGACTGGAGCTGCTGGGTGGCTCAGTGGGTTAAAACCTCTGCCTTTAGCCGAGGTCATGATCTCAGGGTCCAGGGTAGAGCCCCGCAACGGGCTATCTGCTTGGTGGGGAGCCTGCTTCCCCCTCTCTCTGCCTGCCTCTATGCCTACTTGTGATCTCTCTGCCAAGTACATAAAAAATCTTAAAAAAAAGTTGTTTAATATAATTTGATATCCAGACTACCACCACCACCACCATCGTCATTATCAGAGTCCTTCCCATTCCAATTCTTTGTGAAGTATTTTGTAGATGCTTGAGTTTCTTGGCTTGTGGTGAAGGAGAAACTCTAAGAACATACGTCCACCACCAGTTTTTCCTCAGAGACTCAGCACTTTCAAAGCACATTTTGGTCTGGCAGTTGGATATGGACAGTGGCAAAGCAAAGGAGAAAGGAAGAATGAACTGGGAGAAATTGTTCTCCTCAGCACAAGAGCCGAGATTTTTGATGTGTCAGGAACGGTCCACGTCCATATGACACCTTTTTACGTTGGAGTTCAGCTAAGTCAGTTAATTAGTTTTACCTCAGGGATGATGGTCTTTCCTTTCTCCCTACTTCTTTCTTCCTTCTTTTCTTTTTGTTCTTCTTCCTTTCGTTTCTTCTTTCCTTCCTTCCAAAGGACAAAGACCAGGAGTTGATGAGCTAAGAGATACACAATCAGGCCAATACCCAGACAAACCAGTACACCAAACACCAACTGAACAACAAGCAACTCCCTGAAAGCCAGTTGGCTGAATTTCTTATCCAGCAATTATCGTTCCCGGAATTCACCTAAACCCGAGATATAGCTGAATATGGAAAAATAGAGACAAAGGCAACAGGGCCCTTGGAGAATGGAAGACATTAAGCATTGTTTAAAGAGTTGTTCAAAGATGGTACCTATGGCTGAGGGAGAAGTAGGGGAAGAGGGGTTAGGTTTCTTCAACAGACCCAAAGGGAAATGGGCACTGTAGGCTTAAAATAGGAGGGACTATAGGGACTCCTTGGTGGCTCAGTTAGTTAAGTGTCTGCCTTCAGCTCAGGTCATGACCCCAGAGGTGACAATCACGATATGGGAGGGAACTGGCAATTGCTGGCCAGCTTGTGGGTTGGCTCGTGTTCTGTTATCTCACATGGAGGTCGCCATCCATTTCCAAACTAATGTCCCATCCTTGACAACAGGGTGAGAAAAAAGTGAATTGACTGTATCTAGGAGGGAGGTGTCACCCATGTGACATGCATGTGGCCTGTATTGGTCTTCAACACTCCCCACTGAGGTTGGCAACCGCAGGACATGCTGACTGGTGTGCCTGAGTTCTAGGGACTGGGTGTTGGGCCAGTGCTTGATGCTGACGAACAGATCCTATGGGGGAAAGCACACCCCAAGCACAGTCCTGGGGGTGGCCCTCTGTGTTGTGGGTGGAAAGGAGGGAGGCCGCAACCCTAGGGAAATGTAAGAATGGCTCCCTGGCTGCCTCCTCAGTCACTGTGGTTCAGGCAAGTGGCCTTGCAGGGCTCCTGAGCTGCCACTCCTCTCCCTGTTACCCTGCCATCCTCCTGAACCCTCAAGGCTCTGAGGTACACATCCATGGCAGCCCAGGGCCCATGAGTTGATGCAAAACAGAAAAGTGGAGGGAGGGGGCGTTTGGTGTTCTACTTCTCTCCCAGTGGGAAACCCTCAACAGCACACTTGCCTTTCTCTTAGCGATGCTGCTCCCCATCTCGTCAAAGGACTCATCTCGTCATCCAGGGGCTTGAGGCTCCCAATCCAGCCATGAACAAAATGACCGTCCCAGCTGAAAAGAACGGAGAAAGACGAGCAGGGTAAAAAGACACATCTTCACCCGACAAGTATATCCAGGAACAAACAAATCGGGAAAAAAAGGAAGGCCCATCCCCCCCTTACTTCTGCGCATAGAAGCATCTTCACAAGGGCCGCGCACATCCTCCTCGTCTGTGTCAGGGAGGAAGAAAAGGAGGTGAAAGAGGGCGACCTCAGGCTAGTGGCCATGGGCGTGCAGGTTCCGGGATGCTGTGCCCAGCGGGGATATGGAAGGCGTCCAAGACACGGAGGGAACCAGCCAAACACCGAAAAGACAGGGGAGATGGGCTAGGTTCCACCGCTCTCAGCTGGCGCGCTCAATGACGCCTCTGACGTCAAATCCCCCAGAAACCTTCCTGCTCGCGTCAATTTAGACGCTTATTGGCCCGGGTTTATTGGCCTCCTTGGCCCGGCTTTGGGGTCATTGGATAATTCTTTCGTTGCCACCCACACAACCCGGAAGCTTGCCGAGGGGGCGGGGGGGAAATTGAAATAGACGCCTAAAGAGCACCGAAATGCTTTCTGGGAATGGTAGTCATGGGTGCGCCAGGGGAAAGCCGGCTTTCTTCTAGCAGGTTAGAGCATTTTAGACTCATTCACAGAGGCGAAGAGGTACCAGGATCCTCAGCGTTGGCGCGAAGCGCAGAAAATCCAGCGGGAGGAAACAAGTGTTAGTGTTACGGTTAGTCCGGGCTCAGTTTTAACCACTGAACAAATGTTAATGGAGCGCAGACTGTGCGCCAGGAGTTGTCCTAAGTAAGGGCTTTGCGCCCAGAATCCCTTTCAGATGTGGAGGAAGGAATGTGTGGGAAACTGGTACAATGCAAAACTGTAGGAACGTGAAAGCGAACTAGAGCTGCTAGTTACAAGCCTCAGTGGCTGAATTTCAGAACCATACTATGGAGTGAAAGAAGGGAAAAGAACATTTTTATGACTTTCAAACCAAGCAAAACGAATGTTTAGAGAAGCACACATATATAATAAAATACTGCCGAGAAAAAGAAAGGAATGGTGGGAGGAGAAACAAGAATCACCATATTCGTGACCTTTAGGGAGGGGGAGGGTAGAACCCTGGAGGGGAAGGGTTACCGGGGCATCTCAATTATTTCTGAAGTTGGTGTGTTCACGGGTTTCATTATTATGCATAGTTAAGATGTTCTATACATATATTTTGTCCTGCATTTATTAAAAAAATTTTTCTAGACAAATAAAGAAGTGGGTTTGTATGTTCCATTTCTCTGCCCCAATGTTTTAGATCCACCCGTTGAATGACAGTTATAATAGGTTCTGAACAATGAAAGGACACCCAGGCACTCCCCGAGCCCCCAGGACTACAATTCCCAAAAAGGATTGCTTACTCCAGGGCCAGAGTCTGTATTTGGTGGATGTAGGAGCTATCCAATGAGTCCTTCAGCGGTCCGAGGGGGGCGGGGAAATTGTCCAATCAGCGACTGGGCAGACGCGCCAATGAGCGGGAAGGTTGTTAGCGGCCCTGACCCGAGCGGCATCCCTGAGTGGGTGGAACCAGCCCCTCTCACCTGCGTCTCAGACGCTGGCGGTTCCCCTCGGCATCTGTGGACCCCGCTTCCATCTCTCCGTGAGGCACATCATTCGGGAACACCCGCGCCCAAGGCCAGTGACCTGGGGACGCCCTCATTCAACTCCTGTTCTTCTTCCTGGACAGACACAGAGGACGAGGGAGTGCACGGCACTTGTGAAAATGCTTCTATGCACAGAGGTACCTGCGGGGTGGGGCTCAGGGCCCAGCATCCCTGCGGCGCTGGGGCCTTGGTGGGAGGCGGGGCTGTGTCTCAGGAATAGGCTCTTTCGCCGTCACCTCGTGGACCCTTCGTTTCACAACTGTGAAGAGCACAGAGCCGGGCTTCATTTATGGAGCTGCTAATTATCTCACCTGTGCCGTGCGCTGGGCCTGGGGATAGCGGGACTGGGGATGCTGCCGAACCAGGCAGACGCGGTGTCGGTGTCGGCCTTGTTGGGGCTAAAGTCTTGCCGGAAGACCGGCGTGAAGGGAGTAAGTGTAGAGTTGTTGGGGTGGGGGGGGGAGTTCGAGTTCTCCCTCTTAAATAGGTTACATTCCACTGGGGGTTGTCAGGATCCCCATTGTGCACCTGAGATCAGGCCAATCAAGGCGGCGGTTGGGGGGGGGGGCGGTTCGGAGGGAGTGCGGCCCAGGACCTCCTAATATTGGTGGGCAGAGCCAGTACTTTCCAGAGCTTTTGCGTGGAGTCCACTGGAGTCTATATTCTCAGGGGTGTAGTGGGGGCAGCGTTGTGCGCACAGATGTTTGTGACATATTGGAAAGCACGAGGCTGGAGTGTAGTTCGTTCAACAGAAATTGTTGAGAGTGTACTTTGTGGTAGGCCCTTCCTTTTGGGTGGGTGGTGGGTGGTGATTGGGAACACATGTTAAATAGTCTGACAGGTATCTGAGGTACTCACCACCTGTTTGGACAAGACAGGAAGCAAATAATTACCCATGAAATACATAATTACAGTTTTTCCTTGAGTGCTGAGAAATACAGGGTGTTTCTGTAATTTAGGCAATAATGTTTAAGCTGAGACCGGAAGGCTAAGACAAATGGTAGATGTGGGAGGGTGTTCCATTAGAACAGGACAGGAGTGTTAAAGGAATTGAATGTCCGTGAGGCTGGGGCCACGTGGAGACTGTAGGGTGGGGAAAACCAAGGTTTGGGGTAAGACTTGCACTTTCTGTAGGTTCTTGGAGACTAAGCATAATGACTTAAACCATGGAGTCCAGAGCCAAGCTGCTCCTAGCTCTGCCACTTAAGAGCTGTGTTACTAAAGCACTCTTTATCTCAGTTTCCTGATGTGAGGAATGGGGATGATAATAATCCCACTTCATAGATGATTGTAAAGATGAAATGATATTTAACATTAATAAAAGACTTAGAGCCATGTATGACATGTATTAGGTGTTAGTGGTGGTTGGTTCAATATATAGATAAATACATAAGTTTTGAAGACTTGGAGACAGTCTGCAGTGACATTTGTGAACTTAAATGGCTTTGACCCAACTTTGTTTCTTCTCCAGTTTGTAGGTGCTGTTGACCACATGTGTAGCACTGTTGAATCAGAAATAATTTTTCTCGTATCAACTGCTGTTGGTTAAGAGAATCTGATATACCATTGAAATGATCAGAGAGAAAGAAAATACTTTTCAATAGCATATTATGATTATGTTTATTGAAAAGTTAATATGGATTTATTTAATATTTGTTGGTAACAGTTTGTGCAAACTTGCTTACTTAAAAAAAAAGTAAACTGTAGAGTAACTCAGATACAACAAAAGGAGAGAGAAGTAGCATAACTACAGCTTACCTTTTCTTGTCTCTCTATGGGAAAGCTTTTATAATTTCTCTGTTCCTCTCTGCCTCAGTTTCCAATGCCCCCCTGTGTCTGCCAACAGCTACACATTGTAGTTCAGGAAGTTTGGGTTTGGAATTGGAGAGACTCTAAGGTAGTCGTACCCAGGCCAAAGGGCACATCAGCAGAGCCTGTGGGGCTTTTTAAAGAAAAACGAGGAGGATTCTTAGATCCTCCTCTAGACTCACTGAGTCAGATCTTCTGGGATAGGTCCCGGGCTGTAAAGACCAGGTATGTTTGCCATGTGGATGTGTTTCATGACAGCTTTTTTTGGAACCACATGCAAGAAGATTGGGAGAATCCACAAGTTAATGTTTGAAACCATTTTGCAGGGCTCTGTCCTTCAAGTTCC